TTCATCGGCGAAGAGTCAATACGTTGTTTTTATGCTCACGGGTTCATTTCATTGTTGAATCGATCTGGCTAAACAATTAGTGTCCCCAGCTGTCATTTAAAAGTATCAAACTCAATAATTGTCAAAGCCATTTTTGTAAAATTGGCCAAAGTTGGCCATGATAGCCAAAAACGGCCTATTGGCTATATCTCAAAAACGGTGCGGAATTTTGCTTTTGTTATTGAGGCGAATTTTTGGCTCAAGCTAAGATAAAAACTTTTAAGAATAAAAAAAACGAGAAAAATTGGTTTTTGAGGTGTAAAAAGCCAGATTTTAACATGATATTTTGATTCTTCGGAAATTGAAAAATGAACCTATTTTCGTGGTAGGATTTTACGATTTCAACGCGTTGATCCATTGTTGATGTTGACATGGTTAAATTTGCCAAAGACTGAAGCCTCCAAATGACATATCAGTTTGACAGTTCTGGTCAGCGTTCATGCTGTCCCTATTGGAAAACTTTCTGCGTCCCTGTTGAAACACCCTTTATATGCTTTGATTTTGCTGATATTTATTTTCTGTTGTAATACATTCTTTTTTTTCGATTAAATGAACGCATGAAACATAAATAAAACTAAACTGAATATCTTACAGTTACAATAAAATTTGCATTGAAAAAATCGCCATTTTAACAATGAAATTTGATATTTTTCATGTCCTGTTTGAACCATTTAACATAGTTGCTAATGACCATGAAAGCGACATAGGTTTTAAAACCATTTGCTCCATGAATTCTTTTCAAGTGTTGCAATTCATTGCGGTCAATTTCAAATTCAATAAAAACGAAAGAATTTGTACACCGTCACAGATGAGATAAAAGCTATAAAAAGAACAGTTAACAGGTTGATCAAAGTGTTTGCGGGAGTTTCCAACTGAAAAGACTCACTCAATTGCTTCGTCCATAAAATTGAAATAGTAATTTCGACTAAATTAAACTGAACTGCGCACTCGAACACGATTCATTGCACATTTTAAACTTTATTTATTTTGAACAGCCTAATATTAATTCTACGAAATAATGCTAATACGAAAATAATCTCAAAAATCAAATGATATCAACATATATTGTGCTTTATTGCATTAAAAAATAGTTTTGACATGTGGCTGGAATTTCTTATGTCGTCTATTCATCGACTGAAGACCATGTGATTTTGGTAGTAATCCAATGCACCTCGCCAATTGATTTGAAGCCATGTTTGCCAAACAGTGATCGGGATGGTGTATTGTTTTTAAATATACCGGCATAGATATCATGGCCCATTTCAGCGATCTTTTTGGACACATATCTAGTTACCAGTCCGCCGTATCCTTTTCCATAATATTTTTCATCTGTTTGTAAAGCTGCAAATATAATCGGTGATAATTTCATGGCAAATTTTGTAGATTTTTATATTCATTTCTTCAAAGTCTTACCTCCGAGCAAACCAGTTGAAAGCCTAGAATGAAAAATAACACATTGATTGAGAAATTTTTTTTTAATTTTTATACATTAAATAAATAGAGAAAATAATAATTTAGCTACCGGAAAAGCCAGGCCACCAAATTACCATCTTCAGTGAATGCTCCGATGTTTGTATTGTAATTGGCCATTCTTTGAAGAAATGGAAGTGAATTTGAATTCCGATGCGGCCAAACGGAGTTTGCTTTCTCAATATCATGGAGTTCCGTGATTGGTCGCAATTCAATGCCATCGGGCGGCCTGAATATTATTTTAAAATCATTCGTTGAAAATTTATTCACTAATTCTTTTTCGTTTCATACTTTAGAAAACATAGCTTCAACAACATACTGTGTATCGAATTTCAGCGCCTCTTCTTTTGGCAAGTAATATAGTAACGTCGTGTCATTCATAATAATTTCAACCTTTGCTCGTTCCAGAGCATCTTTGATAACCGATCGAAGTTCAGATCGTACGCTTAAAAAGGTGTAGCCTTTTGAGTAGTCTAGCAGCTGTAGCAAACGAATCAATCTGTCGAACGATTCATTGAATGTGTCCGCATACGCAGTACAGCGATCCTAAAAAATTAGTTCATTCAAATCATAATCAAATGGCCCAAATCAAAGTAATCATTCACTATAGATAAAACGTTTACCGTGACAACGAATGTTCCATCGGAGAAATCTCCGTTTAAACAGAAAATCTTGACATGTTTCACATTGGGATCTTGTTCGAACCACCGAATATAGTTATCAATCGTCGTATAAGCAATATAACTCTTCGAACTATCGGAAGTGTAAAGATTTTTTAGGGTTTGTAAATCTTTTTGATCAATTTTTACTAAATGGTCTGTCATTTTTTGCACAAGCTCAAAACAAACGAACTGCACTGAACGAACGTCAATTGTACACTGTGTGTACACAAAGCGAAAATGGTATAAGTATCACTTACCACACACTCAATATTATAGCGACATCTATTATTAAAATAGCTTGTAGTAAATGCATTTATAGCATTTCCCTGTAGTCGCGATGTTTCCTATTAAATTCCCTTGTAGTACTGACACATTCATGTTTGACACTTGTTAACTACATACCACAGGGGAATTTAATAGGTAACATCGAAACTACAGTGAAATGCTATGAATGCGTTTACTACAAGCTATTTTAATAATAGATGTCGCTATAATATTGAGTGTGCATGTTTTCAAACCAAGGGGCTTATTATGTATTCGTACAAGGTCGCGTATGCGATTTTTTTTATTGTAAAATACGCGAATGCAATACGAATATGTATATTGAGTTTTTATAATGGAAGTGCGAATGCATGAAGCAACACGAACATCTGAACATCAATTTGTGAGTATATTGGACAAAATCATCAATAGAATTTTAGTTTTAAATTTCAAATCAAATCAAATACATTATGTATGGATGTTCGTTTTTGATTCACATGAAAAAAAAATCTTGGACATTGGTGACCTATCATAAATATTCAGTACTAAGATGCGAATACATTCGCAAAATGAATTCGTAAGAGATAAATTCCCCTAGCGTCCAACCGGTCAATGTATGCACGTATGCACGCATATGCACATGCACTTATAGAGAATTATATTGTGTATCTGCTGCTACTCCATTTCATTGAACGTAATTTGAACTGCTTCATATGTTCTCTCATTCCAATCAAAGTGAACGTTGTTCACATTACGTATGCGGTATAAAAGTGTCTCTGTATTAACAAGAGCTATTGAGATAGTAATATTGTTGAAATTATTCCATCCATATTTATCACGGACAGCGAAAAACAGCAAAACAATATAACTTGTTTGGAAAATCTCGTGATAAGATTCGTAGTATCATTAAAATTGCATTGCTTGTCAAGAAATAGACAAGAAAAACGTGTAAAATTGTTCAAAATAGAAAATCGTTTTTTATTTGAAGAATTCCAAAGTTCAACCGGATCATGAACTTGAAAAATAAGCTAAAATTGGAGCTAGAGATTATCAGATTTGGGATATAGCCGGAGAGCGCATACACCTATGTAAATCATACACATCTGCATGCACTCTCCGACTATACATGCGACGACGTTGCGCTAATTACGGCATTAGCCGAATAAGTCGCGACGTCATGCGCATCCACTCAGTCACAACACAACCTTCAACCAAAGAACAATGAATAAAGAGTATATATCCAAACACATCAAACAACTGTGTTTATTACATCAATATATCATGCTCCTTCCATCACTATAGGGATAAACAGATTTTGGGGAAAGAATGTTTTTGAGAATAAACTTTTCAATTTTATAATGTATCATTTTATTCAGTTAGAATCAAAAACTGTTAGGCTTCAAAAACAAAAATTACTACTCAGTTTGTTCTAAATATATAATTTCAACCATTGAAATACACTAAACTTGTTTGTTTCTGTCGAAAAAGATTTTAAAAGAAGGTGTCTGTGTGTGCTCTAAATGCAGGCGTTTCATTGCATCAGAACATTTGTAAATATGACAAGCTGCTTTATTTGCGTAATTATTCATTTCGGAATAATTGTGGTGTTTTTTTCAGCTTGATTTTTTTCTTCACATTGCGATTGATAGAAGAAAAAAAGATATGGTGACATCACTGGCTACTTAAAATAGAGAATGGCATGTGCTATGCTACATTTTTATCTATGTTGATGAAATGAAACGGTGTATCGAAAGATTTATTTACTCATTACGCCATTTAGGAAAACAATTTTTCATTACGAATATGGATTTTGTCCGTTGTTCCACTGCTTGATTCCGTCATGCGGCGCACTAAAGAAAACGATATTCAGTCGTCATTTGAGTCAACAATTCTTCATAAACTGTACGCTGATTCACCTCTGTGCACACATACGGTTTTTTCTTTTATCTCAATTACAGTATATAGTCAACGTATTATTTCACTTTCAATTTCTTTTCTCGTATTCAGAGTCTCGCATAAAAGACAGCTATTGTTTCGAGTAAAGTCGATTTTAAGCTATTTTATTTAGTAATCGTCAAACTGTCGACATGGAACGTACTTTTTACTTTGGAGTTTTGGTTCTTCTTTGCTTGATATCGGTAAGATAAGCTTTGCGGAAATTCATTGATCAGTTTTTATTGAAACGTGATCATTATTTCTTGTGTTAATTCAGTGCATATCCAGTGCATCGATTTCATCAACCGGTACAGGCTCTGTGGTTGCAATGGACCTAGACGTGCGGCCGGTTAATGAAGATCCACTTGTGAGTTCGATAAAAGTGTCATCAGCTGCCATTCAAATTATTCGCCCGAAATCACAAGCCAACACGCCATTGGCCAAGCGGCATCTCCTTTTGCCACACAACAGCAAACCCATTTCGAATCCAAGTGCAGCCCAAGTCATTGTTACAAAATATTTTGAAGCATAATTAAGCACATTAAGTCTGTATTTGTGTTACTATTGAGAAAATAAACAGTTGCATATTTTTTGATCAAGTTTTTTGAGGTATTCGAATGAGAACGATAAAACTAATTGAATAAATGACTATTTACAGATTCGAATGCTAAGGTACTCGAAAAACAGTCACATATTTGAAAAACAAGCCAAAAAGTTCAAGGAATAGTATATTTTCAACATAAAATATAAACTAAAATTATAAGAATTTTTGATGCATAATACTCGTATACGTTTCTTCTCCATGATTTTTGATACAATCTTGCTTGGTGAATCGCCAAATCAATCAATTTTTGTATCAAGCTCTAATAATACCAAACGCTGCAGCATCATTTCGAAATATTTCAACATATTCATAATATAATTCTTTATTTAGCACGAGGTTTCAGTTCTAAATGAACGCCATCAAATACAATGAAGAATGTTTTTTTCAATTTGATTGGTATTTTTGTGTCCTTATTCGGTTCGAATGAGAAATTCAGTAGCAAATTGTACAAAATTGCTTTGGCTTCCATTAAAGCGAAACGGGATCCGATGCAGTTGCGCGGTCCGACGCCGAAGGGAACATATGCGCTTGGCAGAACGTTGTGCTTATTCTCATCATTAAAACGGTCTGGATTGAACTTTTCTGGGTCTTGATAGTATTTGGAGTCGCGATGTACGCCGATAAGTGAGAATATAACATTCGATCCTTTTTCGATGGTGAATTTTCTCTCACCGTCATCGTAAACATAGTCTTTCACACACGTGCGATCGGTTTGAATGGCAGTCGGGTATTTTCTCAGAGTTTCCGAGATCACTTGATCTAGATATTTAATCTTTTGAAGAGCATCGTAGGTAATTCGCTTTCCACCCAATTGTTCATTCACTTCGGAAATTTCCTCGTAGAGCTTTTGCTGAACATCTGCGTTGACCATAATTTCATATGCGGCAAAAGTAAGAAGGGCGGATGACGTTTCAAATCCAGCGATGAAAAACAAAAAGCATTGAGCAACTAGCTCACTGTCACTCCATTTACGAGTCACATTAGCTTTTCCCACATTCGATTCCTCGACTGTTGCAAATCCTTCTTGGATTTCATTTGATTTCTCTTCAATCTTTTGCTCCAGATGTCCATCACGCACTTGCATCAACATATTTACCATATCGGGACGATGGATATTATTTCGCTTTCGCATGGCCATCGTGTCCAAAATTATATTTTTGAATTCCATTGACAGTTTTCGATCAGAAAACTGTAAATTGAGAAGCTTTGCTACTTGCGGAAGTAGAAAATGAACTAATATTTTGAACATCTGTATAAAACCGCCAAAACGCATCATTTTCTTGGCTGTTTGGAAAAAATCATTGTTTGGTTCTGCAAATGAGTTGACTTTGATGCCAAAAGCACATGTAGCGATGACATCGTTAGCGTAGCGTGAAAAGAAGTCCTTCATTTCAATGTTGATTTTCTGTTTGTTTTCAGCCTGTTTCATGAAATGTTCCACTATTCCGTCAGCACATTCCGACACGAGCTCAAACATTAGTCGCATTTTGCTCCCGGTGAACGCTGGACTCAATGTTGCTCGCATTTGCCGCCACTTTTCCCCGTGCATCGAAATTAAACTATTACCGAATAATTCATCAATTTCTTCGGATATAATAACGCGATGGTCGCAAAAATGGTCAAAATCTTTTATGGCAAGTAGTTTATAGACCTCAGGGTCACGCACGACATACTGTCTGATGTTAAAGTCAAATGCGCCAAATATTCTATAAGTTTTCAATCAGGGAATATTTAGAAAACCAAAATGCTAAACATTAATCGAATAATGTAGTTCAATACTTACCGTTCATCTGAGAAAAAATTGTACATATTTTGACCCGATTGGAATCCGTCATATTGGCCAGAAATAAGGGTGGAAATATTTTTGAAGAAATGGAATACTCCTCTGTATTTTAAATTTCGCTCTTCAAAATACCGGGCATTCTCTGTTGACAGTTTGTAGAAAAGAAAGCCAATTATGACAATGCCTATCACGAGTAGTTCACCGAACATTTTTGCCTAAAGTAAATGAAATAAAGTACAATCTACTTAGTTTACTAACGTGAATTGATTATTCGATGAACGAATCGTCTAGCCCAAGTCTCATTATGAAAGCAATGCTTTTATTTGATACAATGCACACTCAACGTAAACAACACAGTGAAGTCAATACTAGAATTAACACTAATTGGGCTTGTTTGATACAACACACAAAAGCTGAACGTTCCTCATACCATACACAATACTATGATCGTACACAATACTATGATCGTAAGTATAGTGCTTGCACTATGAACAGTTAATTCAAAAATAGTGATGACATACTCTGCATTAATTTTTTTGTTTATAGATTGAATTTAATGAAACGAAGCTCTGCATACGCCAAAGACACGTGAACTCACAGAAAACATTGAACAATTCTGAATTGTGGATATATATTTAAAAATTCTTCTAAGAAAAAACGTTTAAGCTTCAACCTTAAGTAAGATGATAAAATGATTATACAACTCCTTAACATGGAGTCATTACAAACCAATCTACACCGTCTATCGTGAGTACTTTATTTGATATTATACACGGGCAGCTGATTGTTTGTCTAACGAGCTTTGTTCAATTATAATTGAACCAACTATAAAACTACGCATTACAATGCAGTGATGTCTCCATATTGCAATAAATTCGAAATTTTCCACGATTTTGTGCAGATACTCCGCTTCCATTTTTAGTGTAATATGTCGTGGTCATGACCTTGTCAGATAACGATCTCACCGATTAGTTCTTAACATAATATGCAAATTATTCCAAAAAGTAATGAATCAAATACATACGTCAAAAAAAGCGAAAAATTTGTTTGCGCATACCTCTGACCATATGGGTTATAAAGTGATAACACTTACGTTTACAGTATGTGCAGTACAGTTCGGTGTTTTCGATTCAACGTCTAGGAGCAAACTGAAGCTATGCTTATCATACGTTTGAAGATTGGAAGCCAAGGAATTGATTTTTGTGTTTGGAATTTTAACAGTGTAAGTAATAGCAAAGCGCGCCAATGTATATACTATAGTGTCATGGAAGTATTCAGATTTGTTTCAAAAGTGATATGGAGTAAACTCCTATACACATTCATTTATCATGTATGTAGTATAAAAAATCCTACATTTCGATGTAGATTCCAATATGAAACTATTGCAAAAAATCATTTCACTAAACGATTAATGCATTCAGAAACTAGATCGAAATATTGCCTTTTTATGGTCCGCACATTCGTTATCACCTCTTAAATATTCAATGCTTTTAATATTTTGGTAATCATGAGAAAGAAACGCGTACGAGTATGATGCATCCAAAATTCATATCATTTTAGCTTATATTTTATGTTGAAAAATCTACTATTCCTTATACTTTTTGGCTTGTTCTCCAAATATGTGATTATTTTTTGAGCGTTTAAGTATTCGAATCCGTGAAAAATTATTATTTATTCAATTAGTTCTATTCATTGTGGTTATAATTAGGCACAACATTCAAAAATGTGAGGAGAGGATTTTCGATATTTATGTTTGTTGAAAATTTACACATCAAAAGCAAGTCGGCTCTGCATGATATATTGAAGCGGTAGATTTAATTCTTCGAACCGAAATAGTTAAAGTGGATCGAATGAAAAAAAAAACAATCCTGACCTTATGTGCTTGAGAGCACCCTAGAACACTTGTATTATAAAATTCCAGAAGACTTTCACTCATGGCATATCATAGTATTATCATTGGCATCAAGCACCACACAGACAAGCACACAGTTTTGCATTAGAATATCATTCAGTTAAGTCAGCTTCATGATTTTCATCGCAATGTTGAGTACTAAGAACGATAATTTGCCTATTTTATGGCTATTTAGTTGTGTGCCTGTTTTCTATTAAATTACATGTTATTGTGAAATTCACATAAGAATTTATACGACTATAAACAAACACTAATACATATAGACGTACGTTTGACAGCTTTAGTTTATAAATACAACTGACAGCACGTGTCATTTTGTCCCGGCTTCAAATAGTATTGACAATAGATCATTTTGTATTGAATTAAATTGCCAAGTATTGTATAAATACTGAGGCCAGCATGCGCAGTTGAGTTATTACTGTTTTGATCATTCTAGTGACAATATCATCAACATGAGTTCCACTGCAGAAAATCCAACAAGTGAAATAGTATTGCCAAATTATATCCAAGCACATTTGAATCGAATCAGTGCGGAGAATGATTTCGTTGATTCTTCAGTGGATGTTCGTCAGGGGTCACAGATTGGTGATGGTTTTGCGAGCAACATTTGGAGTGTAACAATTGCTGAACGGAATAGTGATAAAAAATTGCACCTTGTTTGCAAAGTGGCACTAAACGCCGAATCAAATGAAGATGGAAAAAAATCGAAACTAATATTCAAACGCGAAGCCGATTTTTACACAAAATTGATGCCGACTTTTGTAAAATTCCAAGCAAAAAAGGGTTTATCAGACGTTGATCAATTTTTAGCGTATCCAAAATGTTACGGAACCACAATAGACGATGAAAATGGGCATTACGTAATCATTCTGGAGGATCTTCGTCCGCAAGGCTTCAAACTGTGGCCCAAAATAAAAACATCGCCAATCGAAAATGCTCGACTTGCAATGCGCGAGATTGGAAAGTTTCACGGAATTTCGATTGCGATGAAAGTTCAAAAGCCAGAGCATTTTGCTGAGTTTAAGTCGTTCACAGATATTTATAAAATTCTATTCAATTCAAAAAATGTGGAAGCTTACTTCACAAGGTCATACGATTACGCACTCAAGTCATTCAAACGTGACGATTTTAAAGCGATCATGAGCGACATAAGAAAAAACTTTCGAAAGTATTTCGATGAATGTCTGGATGAGAAATCGGCAAGCTATTTTGGAGTGATTTGCCACGGTGATTTTTGGAACAATAATATTTTGTACACCTTCAATGAGAATGTAAGTAACGTGAATATATCAGTGATTAAATCTGTTTCAACGATTTGTTTACACTTTCAAAGGGTGCCGCTGAAGACATTCGACTTCTAGACTGGCAAGTAATAAGACATGGTTCACCAGCAATCGACATAGCTGCCAACATATTTACATCCACCGATAAGTCATTGCGAGACGATGAATATGAAAATCTACTTCAACTTTACTATAATACACTATCCAAAACAGTGAAACTGTTGGGAAGCAATCCAGATGAACTGTTTACATTTGAAAATCTACAATCCGAACTGAAAAGATGCGGCATCTATGCGCTATTACTATCACCGTTATCGATTCAAGTTTCACAAGCAGATGCGAGTCAATTGGCCGAACGAGGAGATAAAAGTGGTTTAGTTGGTGGCCTTACTGAAACGGGACAACTTGAATATGAACGACGATTGAATGGTGTCTTTGAAGATGTCACAAGACTTGGCTACATCAACAAAATTCATTAAGTTTTCGCTGAGTGTTCTATATCGACAAAATAATGTACTACTCGGCTCACCGAATAATTGGATTTCACGTTATATATCGAGTGCACTGCATAGACGGTGTTTCGGCAACTAACGAATCGCTAAATCAAGCAAAATGCTACATCTATGC